TCCATCATAAATATTGACTTTGTTTAATCATATGTTATTCCAGCTTTTATTTTTTTTCAATATTATTTTAGCAGTTTAGCTTCTGAAACAACTACAATCAGTAAGTGGGCTTGATTGTCACAGATAATCATATCAGAATAAATAATACTTACTAGAATGTTGCCATATAATCTTTAATGGCAACATAATATCTAGTATGTACATTTTTAATGACAGATCACCTTATTTGCTTTTGTTTTTTACTCAGGAGACCTTAAAGCGTGCTCTGGATCTAATACCAATTCTGCGATCAACTGTGATAAACTCGCACGAATTCGACGTACCGACCTTGGAAGAGGACTCACTAGATCCTGCTGTCTGCAGGCTTCGATGGTTTCTGCTACCAAGCGAGGCGGTAGCCCATATTCGTGGAGAAAAACGTAAGCTACCTCTTGCAGAAGCTAAACAACTGTTATTTCGAAAGCTTTGTTTTAAGAATCCGAGTATTTTTCACAGCACTGAATTTTGAGATGAGTCTTTGTTTTGACCATCGAATTCATTCTCCAGAATCAAATTATTGTGATAGATCATTTACTCCTGATTTATCAGTGCCGTTCAAAGGCTATTAGTGTACATGCTAGGTAATGTACTGAAGAATATACTATGAATGTCAATAGTACACTTAAATTTTGCAAAAATGTTTTATATGCAATGCAACATTGTAGAACCAATTATAATCACATAAAAGACTAATCTAAGAATGGCCCCTTTTAATTTAAATCATTTTTCATTTCAATTTAATTATTCAGCCATGGTAGATTCAAGTCCCACTTTAAAGACAAGCCTATGCTCCCCATGGCAGCCAGGCAATATAGAGCGCTGCTTTTGTCCCGATCTAGCGAACTCCGAACATTTGAGATCGCCTGGATCCAGCCCTTATTTGAATGGCACCGCATCGCGAAAACATATCATACTGGCTACACGTGGTGGCTTAGGAGCTGGCGCCAAGAACTTGTCTCCTAATGAGCGGCTGAATGGGGCACTTGATTGGCAGGACTCGTCTGCAGCTCATGAGGCCTCAATGAGGAACCAGTGCAGTGCATCTCTGGAAGAAAGACCATTACCGTTGCTTAATACTCTCAAGGATAATAATCTTTGGCAGCTACCACAGAAGGAGCTGTTTAAGCCCTTTCTTCAGGTGAGGATAGGTAGTCTCTATACGAATATTTTTTTCATTTTTAGTGAATAGGAACCCTCAATATTTCCGCTCTTTATACTTCATAAACGTAAATCTCAGGGATCATATTACCCATTCTATGACGATAACCTTACTGTATGCGAGAAGTTTACTTTAGCTGAATACTCAATTACGACTTGCTTCTTGCCATTTCAACAGTTCATCAATAATCGAATAAATAATGACTGATTAAACATTTCTTTGGATTATCCATTTACCTTTAAAAGTTATACTAACGACGAATATAGTGTATTTAGAAAACAAAATTAACCTGGACTTTGCTTTCATTATTACATGAAATAAGAATGCTATATATATGATTCAGCAGGTCTAGATGGTACTCATTGCTTAATAAAACGGAAACAATGGAAATAAAACTATTTAAGTCTTTACTATTCACAAAAAAAGTTGTTCTCTACGTGATGAAGAATGAAAAAAGCAGAGGTGCTAGCCATGTTCTGACCGCGATCGAATATTTTTAGAAATCCAGTGTCCCCTACATGCGTATAGGTTAGGTCACATGAATTGTATGCGATGAGGTAAATTTAATCAGAATTTGAATTTTTTAAACCATAATACCTTTGATAGCATTTGTAAGTATACCGAATGAATTGTACTGGGGCTAGATTAATCTTATTAGTCTGCTAACAATTTTCTATCTAACAATTTGATGAGGGTTAGAAAAGTTATTAATAATAATACTACTGGCAAAATTCTAGAAAATTATTCATTTCTTCAAGGAATCAGCTACATCTCGGTAGCATTAAAAATGGAGGGCTCCTTACTAATGCTTCATTTAAAAGAAGCAAAATCAAATTGCATATTATACTTTATAAAGCTAAACGAATTTTACATGCTGATAACTTACTATCTTTCTGATACGCAAGTAGTAATTAGCTCTGGAGTGTTGAATTGCAAAGATACAATTCATCTGCCTTAATTTTGATTAAATATTATAAGCCTTTGACTTGGTAAACTGTGTGGCTCTTTTAGTCCTGTTGACTTAGTTAATTATGCCCGATCATAGTTTAAGACTGATATGGAACCATCATGATTGCACTCGAAGCGAGCAGCTAATAAAAAGCAGCCTATTACAGCCTTATATTCAGAAAAGCAAGACTCCAAAACTACATCACACGACTTGTATAATTCTTGCTTTTCCAGGAACCAACAACCTGTCACAAAATAACTATTTCCATAGCACAATTCTTGCTCAATGTTACTCGATTAGTAGGTTATTTTTGTTGATAAAACTATTCTAACCAATGTCGGGCTGGAGATCAAAAGATAAATATTAAATCTTAAACATGCAAAATATGAATAGGAAACGATCGCACCCTATTGCCTTTCAATCTTCATCTGATGCCCACTACAATTATTTCTTCAGAAAATCAACTAGAACATTCTTGTTTCAGCGAGACTTAAGTCTTCGAAACCAGATAAAAGATAGAGGTTCTTGCTCATTAAAATTATCCCCATACTTTAGACATTGGCTCTAAAAATATCTAATACAAACACTTCCAGAATTATTTATTTACCTTCTACAAGATCATTTTGGGAATAATAGGGCCTGACTTTGCAAACAAGTAAAAGCAAGCCCAAAATAGTGATAATGTTCCAAAGCTGACGAACGGGCACTGGCTCCGATGGCTTGGTTCTAGGTGATAAATGAAATTCAATAGATTGGATCTAATTATCACTCTAAAAATTGTCTGAGTAAAATAGGCCTCAGCATAAGAAATTATTTTTGATTCACTTAAAGGCAGTAAACTTCTTACTTCCACTATTTTGTCTACAAAAAAACTTTTTGAAACAGATTTTTAAAGTGCAATGAATGAAAATAAAACATGATTTGCTCACGATACAACTCAATATCAAGGTCGCATCCTCTAAAGAATGCTTTTCTGAACGCTTCCAAGGTGAAGCCTATATAGTATTGTTAATTGGCTCAAAATCAAGCTTCTTTAATTCGATATCCCTGTGCCTTAACAAGATAAGACTTGGCAAAATTTTAATGAAAATATATGATTAAATAATTTTTCAATGTAGACTTTTAAGACTACCGTTAAATAATATATATGAGATGCATTCGTGCTATTTCGTTTAGGGTGTTAAGGGGACTGGTAGTTAACTTTTACCGCAATGTTATGATATACATCAAGTTTCTATTGAATTTCACATAACTTTAATTTCGAAAATGCTATCATCATCCATAGTTGAATGCAGTTTGGACCTAACCTAGGTCTTATCAGCACTCCTAGCGGCACTCAAACAATCATTGTGCAGTGTATAATCTCGTCACGTTAACCGCTATTCCGCATTGCCATGAGTACCCTTAGGTCACAGGGCAGATGTGAATTTCAAGGAGGACTAGGCATTTTCCCATATCATATTGTGTTTTATGATTGCCGATGAAGATAAGTTTTATGTGTTTCCTTCCTTTAAATTCACATCTTCCATGTGACTCAAAGGAACTCGTGGCAATGTGGAGTAGTTGTTTATGTGTCGAGATTACACGTTGCATTGTCAGGGTTCGGGTCCCGCTGGTGGTGTTGATAAGACCTAGGTGAGGTCGAAACCGCAGTACACGCTGGATTAAAATAACTTTTGGGAAAGCAAGGCTATCCAAAATGCAATGGAAACGTCATTTTTACTCATATAATTGTAGGAAAATTTATTTTTATGTTTCACAAAGTTATCTTAATTTCAGTAATCATTTTTTGCAAGTTCTGAGGGCTCCTAGCCATAAATCAAATAATCTTTTTAGAGTGTTTAATGTTTTGATATAATTTACAAATTGGCTTAGAAGTCTCACCTACATATAAAAATTCCAATGAGCCAGAATGTTTATCAAAATGTCATGTGATTGTATATAATTGGAATAAGCCTGCAGTGTGAACCGCTTCATGCATCTAAATCTCAATTTGACATCTCAAATAAGCTAGTATAATGACTTTTTCAGATACTTTTATTAGATCATCTATTTCTTATAGTATATTATTCATATTAAAACTTTTAGAACTATTATTATGTAGATACGAAGAGAAACTGGGTTTCGATAAATCCCTCTAACAATATTATTATGTAGTAGGATCATTTCCATTGCTTTTGCTAATGTCTAGTTGAAACCAAGAAAAATATAAGCAAATGCCTTACAGCTCAAGTAAACTGACCGTATTATCTTTATATTCATATTTCTGATAAAATAAGCATACTTATGAATATAATTATTAATCGAGCTCTTTTAATTAAAGACACTGATTTTTAGCAAGGGTCCTTTTAAGTGTGCAGTTTTGCATTTATATCTTAGGCTAACGTTTACCCCGCTTGTACAAACATTACTTTTTTCTGGGAGACTATAAATAAAGTATCCTTTACTGTGCCCTCTTTCCTTGTTGTTTTACAGATTCTAACCGTTAACTGGGAACATTCCCATCTTCAATGAACAGCTTCAGTCTTAACATTGAGTTAAAATTCGTTACAGCTACAAGCAAAACCGCTCTCAATGGTTTACTTTTAGTTGAAATTTTATGGCATTTCTCTTCCCACCTTCCTTAGTGACCTTCCTACATATTAATCCTATGCCATCCTTCCTTACTTCCACTCCACATAGCAAAGTTTCCTCCTTATCCTAATCCTTCCTCTAATTATTTTCAATAGAATTGATGTCGGCATCTCTTTTATTGTATTTATTGAAGCTCAAGCGCTTCCACTGCTGGTTTCCAATCCCCTATACTAGGCGTTCTGATCATGATTTGTATATATTTTAGCCATTCATTCATGCATATAAGTGTATCTGAGAATGATACTCTTATCCTTACTTTCTTGCCCTCTTATCCCTAGAAATATTGACTAACTCATTATAAAGTTGGCCTATCACAAAGGCAGATTTTTTATAATTCTTCAAATAAGTATATTACTCCCTACTAAATGCATTATGTTACCTGAATGCATCTATGGATTTCTCTCTCATACTATTTGAAATACGAGACAAACTAAGAAGCATAGGACAAATTTTAATAAAATATTGTGTTGACTGATCTTGATATCTTCTGTCATAGGTCATTGTATTTGTTATGTTACTTACCAAGGATTCTTATGTTCTCCCGACCCCATGTTACGTAATTTAAAACAACTATAGCAAAATTTCATTATTTTTTTAATTTCTTCAAATTCGATCATCCTTCATAATCTAGCATAGTAAAAAAATTATCTTTCGAATCTACTACACTCACTGTCTTATTCAAAGTTCTAAATTGTTCACGAATGTTGAATCAAATTAAGTTAAAATACCTACAAGATAATGGGACACTACTAGTTTATGAGAAGGCTTAAGTCCTCGTACAACAATACGGTTAAAATAAATCTATAGGCTCAGTATAGTAGCCATCGAACTGAGGTGGTGTCAAGAGAAGTCAATTGAATATATGGTATGATACCGATTCAGTTCCGCAAAAATCCCTGACTCACATCTATGACAATACATGCTTTGTAGGTCGATAACAAGCTATTGAATTATATTTAGTAGTTCGTAAGTAGTTCCATCTTCTGTATGCACCAAGAAGAAACCAAAACCTTTATAATAGTCAAGCTTAACAGTATTGTACGAATTCTTCTTAATAAAATTTTTAATTACTAGGATAAGAGGTATTATTAAAAGATAAATATTATCTTATTATTTTGTTATACGCCTTGCAACGTAAACCACATTTATCGGTCCCATTATAATTGATCGGATGAGTGTATCATAGTAGGTTCTTGGCAATATCCTCACTTAAGGATCTGTGTAAAAATATGATACTAATAATAAATGGTAAAGTACTGATTATGAATATTCTAAGAGGTAAGGTAGTATAAGAGATAAGAATTTACACTTATACTCAAATCATTTATACATCTATTTAATTTATATAGTACAGTTCAATTCCTCTGATTTTTTTTACGAAACTCAACCTTCCAACTATTCATCAAGGCCACCCGCTTATTCGACATGGTTCGACCTGGTGACAACGTTCTTGTCTGCTTGTCTGGTGGCAAGTGTTCTATCAGCTTGCTCCACTGCCTCCGTCATTACCAATACCTGGAGTCACATGGGGACCCACAGGGGGCGCCATTTACATTTGCTGGGATTACGGTGGATCCCGCGGCAAGGCGATATAACCCGCGAATATTGATACCTTACATGGAAGAGCTTGGTGTACGATACCACTTTGAGTCTCGAAGTTAGTCTACTGCACAATCACTTACAATGTACGAGAGGGGTGCTATGAGAAATACAGCAATAAGCTTTAAGAAAAGATTTGCCTAAAAATTTTGATTGTCTTCGTGACGTTCCTTTGTGACGCAACCATATTTATTATCATATAATGAAAATTTGATTGATTTTAGGGAAAAATCAACTTGTGTAGCCCTTTTAAGTACGCCTATCTATTCTATTACATAATTGTCAGATTTCACTCTTCATTTTGACGCATTTATAAGTTTTAATCAGCTTGATAAAACCTAGAGGATGTAATCCCAATAACTTAGTTAAATATTTTAGAGATTAAAGCAAATCATACTTTATTCTTAAACATAGAAATCAAATGTAAATTTTAAAAGGAAATTTGCCAGTCAAGATATTTATAGATATTTATAGTAACTGGGTTTTGGTTAATCCCTTGATATAACATATTTGGGGAGACCTTGATTTCGTATGAAAGTGCATCAGATTAGGGAAGACATTTAATGAGAGGAACAGTGGTAGGAAGTTGAGTAGGAGCTACTTATACTTGATTGATAGATTTAGGGAGAGGGAGGCTGTTCAGCCGTCATCCAAAAGAAGGCAACTCAACTTGTCTGCTCAGTGATGGTTCCAACTTCACCCACCCTCGTCCACCATATTAAATTAAGCTCATCAACTAAACCATACATATGAGATTACTCAACCTTTCATTGAGTGGTTTAATCTTAATTACCCTAGACTAAGAGGCTAGGACAAGTGGTTTCGTAACTTGAATTACACATTCACAAACTTGCATCTCATTATTTACACAATACTTGCTTATGGACATATATAGTCTCGGCCCCTGATAATCTGACATTAGGTTTTTAGATCACTGATTTAGGACCTTTAGTGCGTATAGACGTTTAGACACACACACACACACTCGAGTAAAAGTATATGGAGCAGTATGAAATATAGTTAGTCAAACCATTCTATATCTATCTATGTCTGTTCATTTTCGTTTTGGGCTATGAGTATATATAAGAGGAGATATAGGGCAGGATACTCTTCTTGACTCGGTGTTAACGTGAGACTTTTACAAGAATGATTTCCAGCTCTGATGATGTCCATCGTTTGATGGACATAAGTTCAGCTCATTTTCGCCCAAAGCGAAAGAGAATGTCTTGTGGACTGCGTCAACCTGAACGTCGTAGTAAAGCTAAACGGCTGCAATACAATGGGATTCAGCCACTGTCTTCTGATGACATCAAACTATGAATCTATTTTCCATGATCTTTCATAATAAATGAGGGTCTCCCCATCAATATCTATGTTTTATATAATTACATGACTTTTATCCTCTATTCCATCCCAAATGCTAATGAAATTCTGAGGTCTTGCTTGATTACGACTGGATTCGGAAGAATAAAAATTATTGCGGAAATACTATCATATTTTACATTTCCTATGTTAATATTTCTTACCACTATTCACGAATATTATTACTGTGACTTCATAACATTATTATTTTTTGTTTTAAAAAGCTATTCCTTCTTGTGAGATTCACAACCCCTCCTACTGCTCAAGAATGAAGCGCAGTACCATATACGCGATTGCAAGGAAGTTTGGCTACAACGTGGTTGCTCTTGCTCAGAACTTAGATGATATGGCTGCCAGGTATGGAAGAAAGCTTGTTAATGGATAGGCTGGCTAGAGCGGACAGATGAAAGAGCTAGTTCATACAAGCCAAAAACAAATTCAGGGATGCATATGGAGTTTCTCCTGACCTGGACAAGGTAT